TAAAAGCCTGCTACCCCTCTGGGCTGTTCCTCCCCTGACAAAGATGGAGGCTGTGAGAAGACTTGTTCTCTTGGTCCTTTTCATTGTGCCGTGTTTGGCGGAGTTCAGTTTGACCGAGTCTGAAGGTAAGAAAATTCAACCAGTTTTTCAGTCTATACAGGGCTATTCAAGAGGCACCTGCCAGAGATTTTTAGTTTTAAAACCTTCTGTTGCTCTCAATATGGAAAAAAGTACTCATATATATTTCATAGGGCATTAAATTGGTACCAGTTTATTCAAGATGATGTGACAATATATAGAAAAATTTTAAAAAGCATGATTCTACCAAGTGTTTTACTTCTAAAAACTTCTCCTTAAAGAATTAATATCAATCATTCCCAAACACTTCCAAAAAACAAAAGAGGAAAGAACACTTCCAAACTCATTTTAGGAGGCCAGCATGACCCTGATACCGCAGTTAGACAAGGACATTCAAGAAGAGAGTAGGGGTGACTTTAATTATATCAGACAAAATAGATTTTAAGTCAAAAACTGGAACAGAGAGAAGAAGGTCATTGCAATGAAAAATGAGTTAATTCTTCAAGAGGATATAATAATTGTGAATATATATGCACCCAATATCAAAGCACCAAATATATAAAGCAAATATTAACAGATCTGAAGAGAGAAACAGACAATACAAGAATAGTAGGAGAATTTGATACCTCACTTTCAACAATGGGTAAATCATCCAGACAGAAAGTTACTAAGGAAACATTAGAACTGAACTACACTTTAGACCATATGGACCTTATCAACATATACAGATCATTCCATCCAAGAGCTGCAGGTACATTGTTCTCACCCACACATGGAAGATTCTCCAGGACATATCATATGCTTGGTCACAGAACAAGTCTTAACAAATTTAAAAAGACTAAAGTCACATGGAGTTTCTGGCCACAATGGTACAAAATTAGAAATCTATAATAAAGGAAAACTAAAAAGATCACAAAACTATGGAAATTAAAAAACACACTCCTGTACAAACCATCAGTCAAAGAAGAAATCCAAATGGCAAATGAAAAAAAAAATCTTGAAATAAATAAAAATGTTAACAAAATATATCAAAATTTATGGGAGGCAGCAAAAGCAGTCCTAATTAGGGAGGTTTACAGTGATAAATGGCTTCATTATGAAAGAAGAAAGCTCTCAAATAAAGAGCTTACCTCTACATCTTAAGAAATGAGAAAGAGAGGGGTGCCTGGGTGGTTCAGTTGGTTAAGCATCAGACTTTGGGTCAGGTCATGGTCTTGTGGTTCATGAGTTTGAGCCCCTAGTCGGGCTCTGTGTTGACAACTCAGAGCCTGGAGTCTGCTTCTGATTCCGTGTCTCCCTCTCTCTCTGCCCTTCCCCTGCTCATGCTCTGTGTCTCTGTCTCAAAAATAAAATAAAAACATTAAAAAAAAAAACAAAACTAGAAAGAGAAAAACAAGCTAAACCCAAAGAGCAGAAGGAAGGAAGGAACAAAGATCAGAGCACAAATAAAATAGAAACCAGGAAAACTCTAGAAAAGATGAGTGAAACTAAGAAAGTTGGGCTCTTTCCTGTTTTGTTGCGGTAACTGAGATACAGCACTGTGTACAAGTCTGGGATGAACAGAGTAAGAATTTGACTTACATGTATGGTGAAATGATTATAATAACTTAACATCTGTCATCTCATATAGATGCAAAAAAAACAAAAATCAAAAAACAGTTTTTTCCTTGTGATGAGAACTCTTAAATTTACCATTAGTAACTGTTATCCATATACACCATAAGGTGTATGACAGTGTTAACCTGAGTGAGTCACAGTGTTTGTACATTACATCCCTAACACCTATTTATCTTATAACTGCGAGTTTGTCCTTTGGACCACCTTCCTCATTCCCCCTCCCCTCACTTCCACCACTGGTACTCATGAATCCAATCTCTTTTTCTCAAATTCAGTCCTTCCTTCCTTCCCTCTTTTCTTTTTTTTTTCTTTTTTCTTCTTCCTTGCCTTCCCTCCCCTCCCTTTCTAATTCCTTCATTTCATTTCACACATAAGTGAGATTATAGAGTATTTATCTTTCTCTGTTGACTTACTTCACTTAATAATGGCCTCATGGTTTATTCATGTTGTCACAAATGGCAGGATTTCCTTTTTATGGCTGAATTGTGTGTGTGTACATCTATTCATCCACTGATGAACACATATGTTGTTTTCATGTCTTGGGTATTGTAAATAGTGCTATGAACATAGGAGGGCAGATATCTTTTCAACATAGTATTTTTGTTTCTTTCAGATATATTTCCAGAAGTGGGATTATTGGATCATATGGTAGTTCTATTTTTAATTCTTTGAGAAACCTCCATACGGTTTTCCACAGTGGTTTCATCAACTTACAATCCCACCAACAGTGTATTAGGGTTCCTTTTTCTCCACATCCTCACCAATAGTTGTTATTTTTGTTCAGTTTGATTTTAGCCATTCTGACAGGTGTGAGGTCATACCTCATTGTGGTTTTAATTTGCATTTTCCTGATGATGAGTGATGTTGAGCATCTTTTTATGTGAGTGTTGGATGACAGCCATTTGGATGCCTTCTTTGGAGAAATATCTGTTCACGTCTTCTGCTCATTTTTAAATTGGATTGTTTGGAGTTTCTTTTGGCATTAAGTTTGTTGTTCTTGTTGTTGTTGTTGTTGTTGTTAAGTAGGCTTCACATCTAGCGTGGAGCCCAACACAGGGCTTGAACTCTTGACCTGAGATCAAGACCTGAGCTGAGATCAAGAGTCAGATGCTTAACCTACTAAGCCACCCGACGATGCCCCTTCATAAGTTCTTTATATATTTTGGATACTAACCCCTTATCAGTATGTCATTTGCAAATATCTTCTCCCCTTCCATGGATTCCATAGTTTTGTTGGTTGTTTCCTTTGCGGTGCAAAAGGTTTTCATTTTAATGTAGTCTCAATAGTTTATTTTTGCCTTTGTTTCCTTTTCCTTAGGAAACATACCCACAAAAATGTTGCGATGGCCGATGTCAGAGAAATTACTGCCTATGCTCTCTTCTAGGATTCACTATGGTTTCAGATCTCACAATTATGTCCTTAATCCATTTTGAGTTTATTATTCAGCCTTAAAAAAGGAAGTCCTTTGAGGAGCACTGGGTAGTATATAGAATTGCTGAATACTATATTGGTACACCTGAAACTAATATAATACTGTATGTTAACTAAATGGAAATTAAAAAAAAAAAAAACCTACAAAAGGAAACCCTGCCATTTGCAGTAACATGGATAAACCTGGATATTATGCTAAGTGAAATACCCAGACACAGAATGACAAATGCATGATCTCACTTATATGTGGAATCTCAAAAAAAGTTGAACTTGGGGCACCTGAGTGGCTCAGTTGGTTAAGCCTCCGACTGTGGCTCAGGTCATGATCTCGCAGTCCATGGGTTCGAGCCCCGTGTCAGGCTCTGTGCTGACAGCTCAGAGCCTGGAGTCTGCTTCAGATCCTGTGTCTCCTTCTCTCTCTGCCCCTCGCTGCTTGTACTCTGTCTGTCTCTCTCTCAAAAATAAACAAACATTAAAAATTGAAAAACAAAAGGTGAACTTATTGTAACAGGGAGTAGAATGGTGGTTACCAGAGACAAGGTGTGGGGAAAATGGGAGATGTTGGTTAAAGGGTACTAATTTTCAAGGTAAGTAGTTAAAGGGTACTGACTATAAGTTCTGGATTCGTAATGCACAGCATGCTGCATACAGATGGCTAGACTGTACACTTGAAGTGGGCTACATACATAGATATCAAGTGTTCCTCTCCCCACAAAGTGGGAACTATTTGAGGGGATGTGTTAATTTGCTTGATTTGGGTAATCATTTCACAACATATCGATATATCAAAACATCATGTTGTACAACCTTAAATACACACAATTTTTGTCAATCATATCTTAAAAATAACACCCACAAAACAGTGTTACTAGATTTTAGTAAAATGACAAATTTTTAGTGTAAAACACTATTTTTGTAGAGGTATCACTCACCAGCCACAGAAAAAGAAAACGAAAAGCTTTGTTCCTCTAAAAGTGGAGTATTAACCCTTAAATCTTTTTAGGAAGTGTTTATTCACATTCAGTTAAAGCTTCTTTAAGGGCATCTGGGTGGCTCAGTCGGTTAAGTGTCTGACTTCAGCTCAGGTCATGATCTCACAGTTCATGAGTTCGAGCCCCGCATCCGGCTCTGTGCTGACAGCTAGCTCAGAGTCTGGACCCTGTTTCAGATTCTAGATCTCGCTCTCTCTGATCCTCCTCTGCTCATGCTGTCTCTCTTACAGAAAAAAAAAAAAATAGCTTTCCTTTTTTGAGAGAGGGAGAGAGAGAATAAGAGGTGGGGCAGAGAGAGAGAGGAGGAGAGAGAGCAAATGAGTGGGGGAGGCGCAGAGAGAATCCCGAGTGGGGAGTGGGCTCTGTGTTGACAGCCCAGTACAGGGCTCAATCTCATAAACTGTGAGATCATGACCTGAGCTGAAATAAAGAGTCAGACACTTAACCCACTGAGCCATCCAGGCACCCCTAAATTAGCCTTTATTTTTATTTTTTATTAAAAAATTTTTTTTAAACATTTATTCATTTTTGAGAGACAGAGCGCAATTAGGGGAGGGGCAGAGAGAGAGGGAGACACAGAATCAGAAGCAGGCTCCAGGCGCTGCTGTCAGCACAGGGCCTAAAGTGGTGCTCAAACTCATGAACTGTGAAATCATGACCTCAGCCGAAGTTGGACGCTTAACTGACTGAGCCACCCAGGCGCCCTAATTAGCCCTTATTTTAAAGAACCCACCAAAACACTGAATGAGTGTGAAATACTCCATTTTCATAAAAATAAAACATTTTAAAGCAAAGATTCACTGAAAAGAAAATGTTTCCATTTACTTGAGACAAGTAGTTACCAAAGAAGATACATTTATTTTTAAATGCAAGTAGATGACTTTTAAACACACACACACACAGTAGTTTCATTTCAGAAAATGACGTCTGCCAGAGAGAGTCCCAGTCTCCTTGCTGCACACGCCTTCTTCCTTCGGTGCAGGCCTCAGCCCCTCACAGTGGAAACCATGAGAGAAGGCCTCGGGCAAGAACCTGTATCTGCTCAGGAAAGGAAGGTTCCGCACGCTTTCTGGGTTTACTGAGATGAAACAGGATGAATCCTCTCATTTTACATCAAACACTAAATCTATAGTAATAATCACAACAAGGACGGGCCAGTTCTGATGTTTGCATTCTACTCACCGCTATTCGCCGCGGAACAGACAGTAACGGCCCCGCTGCGTCCGTGCGTACACGTGCCCAGCACTGCATCTGGGCCACTGTCTGAGCGCAGACACCCCCAAACATAAATCAGTGATCTGAATGAAAGGTTTTTAAGTCTTAAGTATCTAATTTTCCATGAAAAATCAATCAGAAAATGAAAAATTATCAGATATCTAAGTCTTCTTTTTCATACTAACACCATAAAATAAGCCCTATTATAAATAAAAAAATGTACTTCTATCAAAACCATTATACAACACAGACTCATGGATTACATTAAAAGTTCTTAACATTTTTAAACAGTTAAGCCAGAAATACACATACATTTCTGTCAGAGTGAACAATATCGTAAACAAAAATAATTTATAACCCCATCAAGTTAGATCTTAGTGCACAGGACCGGGTTTACAGGAACAAGTACAGTTAAAATGAACACTGAGGTCACTTTATGGAAGATGATGATCCTCAGATGCCATGAGTACTTGCTTTGAATTTGTTGGGTTTTGGCTTTGTAATAAATACGTAATAAATATCTGTAGTATACTATACACGTTGAGCACTTATCTTTCTCCATTTGAAAGTCCTTCTCCGGAGTCACACTGCTTGAGGGCCGCCCCGGCGGGCAGGGAGTAAGGATTCTGCAGCACATCCATTAGCGGAGCCATCTTTGTGTCTATGTGCTCCTGCAGTTCATGTATCCGCCGATCGATGTAGTCCACCAGCCTCTTTTCCATCAGGTCCATACTTTCAGTAAGGATCTTTTCCAAGTAGGAGCACACGGGCTGCTCTTCCGTTCTACAAATAAGTTTAAAAACAAAACGATATAACAATGATTCCTGACAGCAACACAAAAACAACCAAGCTCTACTGAAACAAACAGCCAACACCCACTGCTGAGATCTGTCTCCACAGCTGTGCTGTCTTCATACAACATATTTCCAGGTTCCAAAAATACACATGGAACAGGCAACCGCAACCCTGAGTGCCCAAAGCATTCTGGATCCTTAACTCCTGAAACATTGAAGCATACAACTGAATGAGAATATAAAAATGATACAATTTCTACCCTCAAAGAACAAGTCTTTACAAAGGGTCTTTCCATTTGGAGCTCCAAATCAAAACTGATATTGTCTGATTTTTAAAGGTCTCCACCTGTCTTCTAAGAACTTCCCTAAACAACCCTACAATTAAAGTTCTGTCTTTTGTCACCATGTAAGTACCAGAAAGTTTTTTTCTTTTTTTTCAAAGTTTTTTTTCTAACCTAATATGAAAACATCTAAAAATGAATGTAACTGGAATGGGCAAACAGAAATGAGAATAGTAAAAAGCACTCCAGTTGCTCAAGTTCACAACCAACAAACACTAGACAGTGACCTTCAGAGTGTGGTCCACAAAACCCTGGGGTCGCTGTGACTTTTCAGCTTCCAAGAAGTCACAAGTGGTTCTGTACTACTCCTAAGGTGTCATCTGAACGTTTCATCCTCAGATTCTCATGAACGTACAGTGACATTGTCCCGAAGCTACACAAGGTGTAATGTCACTGCTCTGATAATCAACAGAAGTTGTGGTTGCGTATTTTCCTGTTCTTTAGACTTTCCTAAGGTAGTAAGTTTAGGGTATAAATAAATACTTTTTCAGAGATTAACTCAGTTTGCTCTTGGTACCTCTACGATCTTATGAGCTATTGATGACACATGCTATAATGCAACATACAGGAGAATGTGACCAAAAACTAATATCAATTTTATAAATTGATATTTTTTAAGTTTATTTATTTTGAGAGAGAAAGAGAGAAAGTGAATGGGGGGGAGG